ACCCCCCCAATGGCCCTTTCATGGTAGTTGGGGAGAGGGGGGTCTAGGTTGTATACATGGGTGGTTGTCAAAATTATGGTCCCTTTTTGGGTCCTTATTATAATACGGCACCTATTATTTAGGGTACCCTAAACCCTAAACCCTAAACCCTAAACCCCTAAACCCTAAACCCTAAACCGTAATTTAGGGTACCCCAAAAGGGACCACAATTTTGACAACTACCCATGTTGAAAACTAAAGCTTGCACCCCTGGAGCTCTAGAGCCGTAACGGTTTAGGGTTTAGGGTTTAGGGTTTAGGGTTCCTGAAACCCTGCCCCACCCGGGAAAAGACCACATAAGCCCTACCTGTACCATGAAATACCTGCTTGGTTCGGGCTCCTTCTTATGATTTTCCTTTGTATAAGTCCTTAAGAAGGTAGATTAGTTGGGGTTCCGGCAAAATCCCCCTAAACCCTATACCATTGCAACCCTAAACCCTAAGCCTAAACCTTAAATCCTAAACCCCTAAACCATTGCAGCCCTAAACCCCAAAACCCTACACCCTAAACCCCTAAACCCTAAACCCTAAAACCCTACACCCTAAGCCCCAAAACCCTACACCCTAAACCCCTAAACCCTGACCCCTAAACCCCTAAACCCTGACCCCCTTCAAACCGGAACGCCTCCCACGACAGATCCCTGAGGCTCCCTCCCCGCTTAGGACCCTGGAGCTTTCGGTCCTAGTGGGCCTGGGTTCCGGTTTTTGATGGTGGGCTTTAGGGTTTAGGGCTTAGTTTTGGGCTTTAAGGCTTTAGGATTTAGGGCTTAGTTTTAGGGTTTAGGGCTTAGGGTTACGGTTTACGGTTTAGGGCTTTGGGTTTACGGCTAAACCCTAAACCCTAAACCCTAAACCGGGTTAGGGTTTAGGGCTTAGGGTTGCAATGGTTTAGGATGTTTAGGGTTCAGGGCTTAGGATTGCAAAGTTTTAGGGTTTTAGGGTTTAGGGTTTAGGATTGCAAAGGTTTAGGGTTTTAGGGTTTAGCTTAATTAAGGGCAGCAGTCGAGTCCCTTGTGGAGATTGGGTTTGGGGCTAGAGTTTTCATCGTTTCTTGGTCTAGCTATACTATCGTACAGTTACAACCCAACGCCCTCCTCGAATCATTTCGCACCCGTGTAGTCGTGCACTCCTAGTGCTTCTTAGCATTCTGAATATGGACCCTACAATGTTTGTGATCCGAAACCACTTGATGTTTACATCCGGTTCCAACCGGATGCTAGAAGCTGCAATGGCTGTTTGGGCTCGGGGTCTAGTTGCAGTCTAGTTTGGCATCTAGATTGTAGGGACACTATTCAATTACCCTCGACCGCAGACCCTGGCCATAAACCACCCTCTGCAGTGTCAAGCATGCCGTTGAATCTAGGACGGTTTCAGGTGGGTAGTTACCGTTATAGGAGCCTTATAGAAGCTCTAGATGCCTTATAGAAGCCTTATAGAAGCCCTATATACCCTAAACTCCCCCCTAAACCCTAAACCCTAAACCCCTAAACCCTAAACCCTAAGCCCCTAAACCCTAAACCCCTAAACCCTAAACCCCTTAAGCCCTAGAGACCCGAAACTCCCCACCTGTAGTAGTTTCCTTGAATTGAAGGATTCATCCTCCAGCGTCAGGAGATGGTCTCCTCGGGCTCCATGGGTTTAGGCTGAGTCCCCCAATACCCAACCTTTATTTAGGGTTGAGGGTTTAGGGTTGAAGGTTGAGGCTTTAGGGTTGAGGGTTTTAGGGCTTAGGGTTCATTTAAACTTCTTGGGTTCTTATAGTTTAGTAGTAGTCGGAAAGTTTAACCTTTTGTTTCTGTGACTTATTGGGGAAGGATTTAGGGGGCAAGGATCGTTTGACATGACATCGTGGCCCAGCGAGACCCAAAGAGCTCAATACCCCTAAATTGAGGAATATAGCTTAAATCAAAGTATCAAGGCCCTCATAAATTAAGGTGTAGCATATTCAGTAATTCGGGGACCATTGGGCTCTCTGGGGACTTCACCCATGCTGTATCTGACTTAGCCTGGCTTCTGTTTCATGAACTTCCTAGGTTCTCTCTCCCATCCTACCTTGTGCATGGTGTGCATAATCTTGGTTCAGGGTTTAGGGCATAATCTTGCCATGTCTTGTCTTATGGTCGTTTGTCCCTGTGGTCGAGACACCCATCAACATGTTGATGTGTTCCTTCTCACTCTCTCCTTATGCCCTAAAACCCTAAACCCTCAACCCTAAACTTAGCTGAGCAGATTATGGCTCTGTCCTGATAGCCGGACATAAGCATACGCATATCCATCTGCCGCTGCCTCGGGTAGGGGCTGCAATTGTTAGACTTGGGTTTCGGTGCATATTATGATGGCATTATCATACCCTAAACCCTAAGCCCTAAACCGTATCATTCTGGTATGATCATAAGAAGCAACCCTCAGGAAAAATATGGGCTCCTGCTCAGGCCCTGTATTATATCTCCGTCCGGTTCCTTTTCTTACCGACCACCTGCGCATCCCAGGATAGAATTGTAATTAGAATCTTGATTGCGAAGGGCTTAAGTCTGTGTGTAAAGCTGCATGTCCTGGTTTCGTCGAAGGCCTCCAAGACCTGAGCGTGGTTGTTGAAGTAAGTTTATGTCCAGATGGGAGTTTCCGCAAATAAGGGGTACCTTATTTTGGGGTCCTTGTAATAAGGATCCTACTATTTGGGTACTATGTTTGGGTCCCCTATTTTCGGAAACCCCCAGATGGGTGTGCTCGACGAATGTCGTAGGAGTCTTTGCGCTCGCTCGATTCCTCCTGGTTGTCCGGCCTGCCGTTACGTGCCGCTGTGTAGACCTCAGAGGATGGCACGGCAGAGAGAGAATTGTAATTCGCCCCACTCAAATAGGGTTTAGGGTTTAGGGTTTAGGGTCTCGCAACTCTAGAACCAACGCAGGGAGGCTTGAAAAGGGCTTTATAGGGGTTGTATTGAGGTTTTACAGGGCTTTATACAGGTGCTATAGGGTGTTCAATGAAGTTATGTTTATGTAACCGTTCTGGTGGGTGCAGTGTATACCAGGCTCCTCATGATTTTTGGTGAGTATATACACTTGGAGGCCCAGGGGACTTAGTAAGTCGGTTATAAGTAGGGTTATAATGGGGGTAACTCCAGTTAGGGTACTTATCACTCTACTTTTAACGCACTTACTAAGTCCCCTGGGCCTCCAAGCACTGAGATTTATTACCGGGGGGAACCAGTCAGTCCACACCCGGCATCCTGTGAGCCCAGTCCTGAAAAACGACGGCCCGTAAACCCCTAAACCTGCACAGACGCTGGTCTTTTGCTTCTGGAGTCTTTGTGGATCTTAGTTTCGAAACCCCAAGCCTGAACCGCAAAACCGTAAGAACACCGAGACCCCCAATCTTGGGCAGATTGTACTTTAAGGGTTTCTGGGCCTGTGAGGATGAGCTCCGTCCCGAAGTCATTCTGCCTAGGACTCTGCCTGGCCCTTTGGGTCGAGCCTACTTGGAGGTTCATGGGTAGTTATAAGTAGGGTTATAAGTAAGGTAACTGTAATTATAACCCATATTCGGAGACTTATAACCCCAGTTATAACTACCCATGAACCTCCAAGCAGTGGTTCCGGGGTTTGGGGTGAGGGCTGAGGTTGGGGCATTTAGGGTGGTTTAGATTCAGATTTATGCATTCGTGGCTGCAAGCAGATCGCTACTATTGCTGGCTTAACTTATGACGGCAACCCTAAACCCTAACCCCTAAAGCCTAAACCCTAAACCCTAAACCCCTAAACCCCTAAACCCTAAAAAGTTTTCGGATTCCCATTGCAGATCTAGGGCCTGGTCTTTGTCTCAGTCGAGCTCCTCACCCCTCTGCCTCTGTCCCTGCAGCTCCTTCAAGCCTCAAGCAAACCTGCAGCCTTGACACACCACTTGGAGGGCCGGGAGACTTAGCAAGCAGTTATTTTGAAAGAGTTATGAGTATCATTACGCCAATTAGGATCCCTGTTAGGGTTAAGTGTAGCCCCGGAGGGTCCCTCCCTCAACCGACTCCTGTCGCCCTCTCCAGGACACTGGCTGAGCTGAATGTCCGAGGGTCCTCACTATCAAAGTGAAGAAGCACCCTTGCAGTTTGGCCAAGTGCGGAACAAGACTGTGGCTGCTTGCAGATCTGCCAAGAGCCTAATTTTCCCTGCAAAGGCCTCAGATGTTCCGCTGTTGCTTTAATAAAGGGGCCTAAATGATTTCCAACACTATTTGGGGAGTTCCAGTTCCTTAGGATTACATTAAAATATACTCCAAAACCCTATTCTAATTATTAAAGCCAGTTCAAGTTCCTTATGATAAAATTAAAATATACGCCACAACCCTATTCTAATTATTAAGGCCCCTACTTTTTTAGCTCCGAGTTAGGAGTCTTGGGCTTGAGCACTTGGAGGCCCAGGGGACTTAGTAAGTAGGTTATAAGTAGAATTATAAGTACCCTAATTGGAGTTACCCCAATTATAACTCTACTTATAACCGACTTACTAAGTCCCCCCGGCCTCCAAGCAACCCTTCCATGTCTCCGACCATGTCTAAGACATCGTGGAGGCGCGGCGGCAGGAAAAGGCTGTGCCCACAGTTTGGGATGTTGGAGGGCTCGGGGTTTCATGCTTGGGGAGCGGGGTTTGGGGTGTTTTGGGGTTTTGTGAACGAGTTCGTCCACAGGTTCCCGGAAACAAGTCTTTGCAGCGCTACGGGCAAAGTGCATGGTGGTCATGGTGGCTGGTATTGGTTTCGGCATCGCCATGCCATTGTCAACCAAACTGCCAAGGTGTATATCGTTCCAGCAGCTGCGGCCTAAGTCGGCAAATGGGGCACTGTGCTGGCTTGCAGACCCTTACTTGGAGGTTCATTGTTAGTTGTAAGTAGGGTTGTAAGTAGGGTAACTATACTTATAACCCATGTTAGGGGACCTATAACCCCACTTATAACTACCCATGAACCTTCAAGTAACCCCCTTAAACCCAGTTGGCTCTCCCATTGGCTATATTTGGCGTTGCATCTGGGCACAAGAGTATCCTAAAGGTCAAAGACACCCTTAAACATTCCCTTCCGGACACGAAAAATAGGAGCCGGAATAGGAATGGTTGAAGCAGTGTACCTGAAAAGGTTCCTTCATCATATAAACATAAGACGACTACAATATACCGATATACGAGCTAGTGTGGATATGACGGCTACAATATACCCTGGAACGTTAGTCTGCGGCTGCTTTGACAGCTACGGTGGCAGCACCTTGCTTTCGCAGTTTGTAGACCAGCTGTTTTTCTCATGGCGAGCCTCGAAGAGAAGCGTGTTCAGCACCAAGTTATAAGTTATAACATGTATAGGGTTTAGGGTTTAGGGTTTAGGGTTTCAGGGTCTTTGTTACTTGTGCCCTCCTCCCTAAAAGACACAAAGCCGCAAATGTATACGCTCACCAATACTCCTGATGATTTTTCTATACACTCGCCATATAGTTCCCCTGGCAACTCAATCCTCCCAAAGAACCCTTATAGTAATGTAGGGGCCTAAGTTACTTGCAGTATTTTTGGGGGGTTCCTTATTATCATTATAGTAGAATGCCGTTCTAACTTTTAAGGCCCCTAGAAAAGAGCCCTTATAGTATAGCAACCCCTAAACCCCTAAACCCCTAAGCCCTAAACCTTAAGCCCTACAGCTCGAGTCGTCGCAGTGCTGAGTTCAAAAAACGGACATACCCGGAGAGCCCAATACCCCTTAATTAAGCCATATACCTTAAACTATAAGGGTCTTGTTATTATGATTTAAGGTATATTCCTTCTAGCCCCTGGACCCTAAACCCTAAACCCTAAGCCCTAAACCCTAAACCCCTATAGAACCGAAGCTTCGACAATTAAGGGGTATTGGGCTCTCTGAGTACCGGCTCAAGGTTCCCAGGGCCTTTGGGGGGGTGTAGAGGTGAAGGGTTCGGGGTTCCGAAAGGTTTGAGGCTTAGGGTCTAGGGTTCAGGGTCTAGGGTTTTAGGGTTTAGGGTTTAGGGGTTTAGGGGTCTAGGGGTTTAGGGGTTTAGGGTTTAGGGCGTAGGGTAAGGTTGGTCGGGGGATGCCTCCTTTCCGCGAAAACCCAAGAGATCGGGCGGGAGTGCCTTCACAAAGCCAATGTTCCCCAAAAAAAGTCATAGCTCAGCTTCCCTCACAATCAGCACATCGTTGTCATTGTCATGTGACATTAAGGCAGCATGAAACTTCCAAAAATACCTGGTCGGACGATTGCCGAAGGCCATTGCACTGGTCCTGATCGGCTTCTTCATCTTCTCTCGCTAGGCGGGGATGTAGAGGCCGAAATGAGACTGCTACAGAAAAGCTGGGGCGCCCTAACTAGCCGTGTACCGCTTCGAGCTTAGTCTTTAGGACCTGGCCTTCAAGTCGTCGAGCCTGAACCCCAGGACGCCGAATCCCTGTGAAGCCCCGATAGAGCCAACACCAAAACCTAAACCCTAAACATAACGGTTTAGGCTTTAGGGGCTTTAGGGCTTAGGGTAAACATACTGCCCTGAAAGTTTCAAGATGGATCCTAAATCCGAAGCCCTCGGCACCTAGAACCCTGAACCATACTGAAACATACTATGGTACTCTTAAGGAAACCCCTAGCCTATAAGGGAACCTCAAAGCTTTACGTAAAGGTTTGGGGTTTAGGGTTTAGGCCACATCCTAAAGATGATTTGCTTAAAACCTTAAAGCCAGCTTCGAGCCGACTGGTCTAGGCTTTTGGGTTTAGAGTTGGTGGAAAGGCTAAGATAGTACCTTCTTGCAGGTTCCCTGATATCGTCAGAATATAAGGCTACCCCAAACCCCCGCCTAATTACTTTAAGGCTACTATATTCGATGATAATGAAACCTGCCAGGGATGCTGTAGTTTGAACACCTAGGAGTCATACCCCCTCCCCATATATACCACAGTACAGTACACTGTACTCATACACCGCACAATCGTGTTCTCACGGTCAGGGCTCCTGTATCGCCTTAAACTCGGACCCGCAAAGTCGGTAGTCTACCCCCAGGGTTGAGGGTTTAGGGTTACCGAACAGGCATTTGGAGGATAAAAAGGGGCCTAGTATACTAGTGCTATGGGTGGCCTTTTTGAAGCCTCAATCCTAAATCCTAAATTAAGCCGTGGCCGTATTTATCACACTCTTAGGAACTCTGTATTGAGTGGGATTGTACTGGCAAAATGTAGGTATGTCTTGGAATCGGAGAAGTGTTTGAATAGGGTTCTTCCTTACGGTCGCTCTATGTTTCAAGTTCTGTCTTAAGCTCCTAAACCCTAAACCCTAAACCGGCTTAGTTTTCTCCAAAATCTCAACCCGGTTTGAAACCTATGGCTTCCGAACGCTGCGCTTGGTTGGTTTTGCAGAATTTGACCGGGCTTCTGTAACGGGTTTCGGGTTTAGGGTAAGCATTGTCGTGTTTTGTTTGTAGTCGCTACGCATGGTGGTTTCAGTAGCTGTTGCACACGGCGATGGCGTTTTCCTGACATGCCTTACGTCATATGAACAGCTTCAGGGTGCTTCAGGACTGGTTTCTCAACAACGGAACATCGGTACCCCGCGGTGCCCAGGGCACCATCATTCTTTTTCAATTACCAATCTGTTTGCTGCACGAACCTAATGCGCTTGCTGCTGTCATTTCTAATTTTCCAAACCCCCTACACCTTAAACCCCTAAACACTAAATCAACGAAGTCCTAAACTCAAATTTGTCCTGATGTTTTTTGACCACTTCGCATGCATTTTTGCAGTGTTGGAAATGAGGATCGGCACATCTGCTCTCATTGCAGCGCAGATACCGGTTTCCTCCTGCTAACCAACAGAGGCGAGGCACCTCAAGGACTCATAAATCATAACAGGGATAGATTTGACTACTGCTTTTCTATTGCTGTCAACATGTGATGAACGTATATATTGAAGCCGAGTGGTTACCATCAGCACCCCCTTATAGTCCCTATATAACTCATGCGACAATTGTGCCCAAAACCCTGTTCTAAGTATTATAGCCCTATATTTCGTGACAAACACCCCGCTCTACTTCTTCAACCTCCCTACCCCCCTCCCCCCACTCCCCAAGGGCCCTTATGAATTCCTAAGGCCCTCAACCCTAAACCCTAAACCCACGTGGATTTCTTTAGTAACTGAGCACCACCGACTCTCCAGCCCAGGCTGTAAGCTCGGAAACACAAAACTCCTCAACCCTCAGCCCCAAACCCTGAGCCCCTACTTGGAGGCCCGGGGGACTTAGTAAGTAGGTTATAAGTAGGGTTATAAGTGCCCTAACTGGAGTTAACCCAATTACAACCCTACTTATAGCCGACTTACTAAGTCCCCTGGGCCTCCAAGTATAAGCCCTAAACTCTAAAGGCCCCATACCCTACTTTTTAGAAAAGCTAGAAACACCCTGAACCTGTATAAACCCTAAACGTTAAAGGCCCTAAACCCTACTGTAAGGAAAGCTAGAAACACCCTGAGCCCCTATAGACCCTAAACCCTAAAGGTCCTAAATCCTACTTCAAGAAAAGCTAGAATCACCCTGAACCCGTATAAACCCTAAACGCTAGGAGGCCCTAAACCCTACTTTATAAGAAAGGCTCAAACCTAGAGCCCGGACCCACCTCCGACCCCAAAAGTTCCGAAACCCCGCCTCCAAAACCCCGAAACCCTACGAATGGATTTGAGGTTTAGGGTTTAGGGTTTAGGGAGGTAAAAACAGTGAAACTCTTTAGACAGGGTTGAGGTTTAGGGTTTAGGGTTTAAGCCGCTTAGAACAAAGAAACTCTTTAGAAAGGGTTAAGGTTTAGGGTTTAGGGTTTAGGCCGCTTGAAACAACGAGACTCTTTAGAAAGGATTAGGGCTTAGGGTTTAGGGTTAGTTTGGGCCTTCAAAATACCCCGGACCCCCTCAACTCTAACACCCGCAGGCCCTAAGTTAAGCTTTTGGACAGGGCATCAATCGCGGCTGGGTGGATTTGAAGACCACTGGATGGAGCAAAAGAGCTTGAGGATTTTGCCCCATGCTCCGTATAATTATGATTATGTTTACTATGACAAGTTGCTTGACC